TTTGGAGTGGAAGCTGGGTCGAGGCAGACTATAATTTCTTACATTTAGCATAATTTTATTTGATCAAATCAGTAGACCCCTAATATAGATTTTACAACTCTTCGTTTAGTTACTTTTCCTGTTAATATGCAGTAAATCTGGTATATGAATTGTGCTTTTAGCTGAAGAGGTGAAACCGGCAGAGGAGCCTCCAACTGCTGAAGAAAAAGAAGAAACCATACTTGAACTAAATCCAGCAGAAAACACGGATACAGGTAATTCACAATCCACTAATCATCTAGACATCAGTGTGGATGCAAAATCATTTCAAAATTAGCTCTGTGATCAAAAATAACAGAATCTATTGATTGAATGGCTTTGTATAAATACATGTAATATGTTTCTTTTTTTGCAGAATCAACAGAGAGCAGTAAATCAGAAAACCATATAGGGGATGAATTATAACATCTGGAATTCTTTAAAGTTATTTTGTTATATTTATTGACTCCGTTAAGTGGTTCAAAATTCCTTTTGTTTTTTTTTCCCCAGCCCCCTCAGCAAATTGGAACAGCTTGACAATGATGGTGTTTATTTCAATAGTTTTAGTTCAGTGACCCTGAGCCAAACGAAAATACCAATCCCAACTCAAAGCTTTGTGCTTCTTCCATTTGTTTAATTTTGCTTCTTAATCCATGAATTAATGATCTTCTCCCTCTCAGAAACATGACCCGTCTGTTTGAGTCACAAGGAAATCAAAATGGCATGCTTGACCAAAGCAAACATGCTGTCCTTTATGTGTGTAAATGCAGATCATTTTGAAATGGTCGTTTATGTCATGTCCTCTGACTCAAGACAACTTTGCTTTGCGTCCAGAAATGTATATTAAGGAAATGTGAAGTTCCTGCTGAATTGTTGCTTAGCAGTTTGTCACATCTTGTCAAAATCTTCCGTTTATTTTTGCTGGTTCACCTTTTTCCATTCCCAAAACAGCCGTTCGAACCTGTGAGCATCTTCTATGTCAAACATCTCCTGTATTTATGGACTTCAGTATGAATAGTATGCACTGCACTGACATCAAAGGAGTTTCACACATTTTTTTTTTTGCTTTCATGTCTTTACTGGTTTTGTCTTTTACATGTTTTCACGTGCAAGTCTGTGTGGAGAGAAAAATGTGGAAATTGGAGAAGCTGGTTTCTAAACTGTTAATAAAGTCTCTTTTTT